ATATTACCTCATTTTTTTTCCAAATTTTCTAAATTTAATTTATTATATATCTATATATAATATTATATATAATTATTATAGTATTTTTACGATTATAAAATTATAAAATTAATATTTTACTTATTGTGTATCGGGTTATCCACGTGTATACCCAGACCAACCCGTTATCTTAACAGGTGATTACGCGCTACCTGGTAACAACCCGATTCATTATCTTGTCGACCCGATAACCTGTTAATTTCATGTCAGGTTAATAGGTCGTGTCAGAAATTGTCAAGCCTAGCTGCAGCTATAAAATTACTAATTAAACACTACTTGTGATCTTCCTCTAGCTCGTTTCAATGTATAATAGGGCAGTGACCTTTAGAGGCCAAGAAAGGCCAATTATCTATTTATAGTTCAATTATTGTTTGTATCTAGCTAGTTTTATTTTATTTTATTAACAAATGATATTAAATACACTAAGGGGGTGGAGAAGTGGACTAAGTCTCACAATGGGCGAGTCATAATAATGTGATTCAAATTCGTCTTTAGTGATAATCGAACATAAGACATTTCACTTACAAGTGAAAAGTAATATCATTAGACCGTTGTATTAAGTGGGGTATGTAGCTATTTAGCATAGTTTACAAAATACAGAACGAGTATCGCATGTGAACAATGCCTACTTATATTATTTAAAAACTTTCATAAAAACCAGCTAAATTTGGGTCATGATATGAAATTTTAAAAAGTATTATTTAAAAATAAATAATTTTTAATGTTTTTTTTCATAATATGTTAAATATATGTGTTTAATGCATGAATTTTATATGTAATATTAAAAAAATAGTGAAAAATACATGTTTTTTTTGTTGATAAGAGTAAAAATTACATGTTAAACATGAAAAGTATGTAGATACATGTATTATATGTATATGGTACGTTGAAAAACGTGTATGTTTTCATATTAATGAGAAGTGTATGAAAGGAATTTTTTTTTTTTTACACAAAAGTATGTACATATAAATATAGGGTTAATTAAACCTTAAACCAACATCTCTTGAGGTTTATCATGTTTTTATAGAACTTCTTCACTTTTGTTGAATTAAAAAAATAGTGAAAAATTCATGTTCTAATTTTCTTCTATAATTAATTACTTAAAAAATAAAAAACTTCCATAAATTAAAAAACAAAATTGCATTAAACATTAAAAAAGACAATTACAAAACGGGTAATTCTATTAACACCCCACAATCTTATGAAGACACTCCACACTTAAAATTTGTCACGTGAACTTCCAATTATTTACCAGCAGCCAACTACCTCACACCCATCCACTTACCATGGCACCACATTATCAAAAGTTCATCTTCTTATTCGTATGTTTTCTCTGTAATTGATATCTGGCATCAATTGTCAAGAAACTAGTGCTTGTTGAATATTTTTTTTTTTTTTTTTTTACAATAAAACAAAACCAAGAGATCAAAATTAACCCAAGATCCATCAAAATATTAATATAAACTGCAGTACTTCAACTCCGATACAATGCAAATGACGTTAACTGAATTACAAAAACTCAAGCTCCTGATTGTACTTGCGAGCCAAAGCCATCAGAGAAGGCTCGATAATCCCTCCACGGAGCCTCAACACTAGTTGAAGAGTTGACTCTTTCTGGATGTTGTAGTCAGCTAGGGTTCGGTTGTCTTCGAACTGCTTGCCGGCGAAGATCAGGCGTTGCTGGTCCGACAGAATGCCTTCCTTGTCCTGGATCTTTTTGGTGTTTCTTTTTGTTTATGGGGTGGGTGTTAGATGAAACACAAACCAAGAACAAGTAATATGAATTACTGTGATGAAAACACAAACTAATGTTCATTAAACTAATGTATGGAAAATATTATACTTGCAGATGAGCTCGAAGAAGCAGCCATGTCCAAGTTTCGCTGTAAGGTTATAGTGCACCTTCTCGTCTCTCCAGTAATCGGTTTTGCTCTTAACTAATAATAAGTCTTAGCCCAGAATCGAGCATATTAACTGTGAGGGCAGATGCCACTATATATACACAACATAATCCTTGCCAAATCCCATAAGGATTCCCCTATTAGAATCCTTATAGGAAATTAATCCCTTAAATAGTAGTCCAATGTAATATGGATTCCAAAATCCATTCCCAATAAGACTTCTCATTCAATCTCAAGACCAATAACTAAGTTCATAGATTCATACTTATGCTCATATTCTTACAGTGGGTTGGCTTCAGAAATATGAGGGACAAAGTTGTAATTTTTGAGGAATTTTTTGGATGTGGGGTGGATTTATAACATTGTGGGGTGTGTATAAAACAACCCTTACAAAACCCTATGCATCATCTTCTTCCCTTACTATTCCAGCAGCCATCCCCAAAAGATATTGGAGCCACCAAAAGACTCATACTCCCCGCTAATAGTTGTAGCCCATTCCATTCGGTATCAGGGGCACAACTCCTTTTTTCTTTTTCTGGAGAGCAGGGCAGGTGTGTTTTCTATCAAAGCTCTAAAAATGTGCAGATTTAATACCACCGTCTTGATTATATCCGACGGCTAGAAAACATAATAGAAAAGAAAATATTAGGGTTTAATGATCTCAGTCCTTAATAATGTTTATCAAAAGAAGGGAAAACCCTATTCCTTGTTCTCCCTCAGACTGTTCTTCTAAATTTCTCGATCAAAAACCCTAAACCCTAGAGTGTGAAAACCATCAAAATCAAAATGCTGCCATGGGCCAAAACCACGATATCAGCCTGGGAACTTCCAGTGATTCTCTGTGCTAGTAGGATTAAAAGATATATTACGAGATAGGGTGACAAAGATGAAGCAAGATCTGGGCTTATTTTTTGAGGTGTACTTTGATATTATGTTGTGTTCCTATTTTCTGTCGTATGCTTGTTTAGAATTGTGGTTAAGATGATATAGTAAATTAAGGAACATTCTGATATACAACTATGAGTGTTATAAAAAAACACTTTAAATTTGCCGTAACACCAAATTATCATATTCTACAAACTTAGTGCAAAATCACCAAATTAAAGAACATTATGATATACAACTATAATTTGCCATAACACCAAATTATCATATTCTACAAACTCAGTGCAAAATCACTTATAATTCAAGTTTTTTTCTTCGTCAAAGGGAGAATTTATTAAACAACCACCACAAAATTACAAGCTAAACAAGGCCCAAGAAACACCTATTAACAAACAAAACAAGGGTCTAAGACTAAATACAAACAGAAAAAGAGCCCACGAAAACAATAAGGCCCATAGACCTGCACAACAACCAAGAAACCGAGAAGCTTCCACTGCCTTCTCCACCATCAGCTTTCCAGTCCACCGCCGCTGAATAATACCTCACTAGACGCCACCTCCAACCCCGAAAAGCTACTTGAGCACAACTGTAAGCAGGGGTTAGTCGGCAGCAGAGTGAGAGAAGCCAACTACCAGTATGAAGCTTGTGGAAACCCATGAGTGACACTGCCGAAACAGGCCAATAACAGAGAGAAAGTGGTGGTGTTGGAAACTGTTGGATATAAGTCAACAATATGCGATTTAATTATATATGCTAATAAACAATAAATGCGAATATAAAAATTAACAGAGTATGAACAAAACAAAAATATAAAACAAACAACTTGAAGATTGAGGCTTGCGTACCGCAATGTCCTTGAAACAGAAATTTCATCCCTACTTAGTACTTGTAGTTCTACGGATGTCTGCTTCACTAGGATTCAACGATCTAAGTTAGAATTCCAGTATCGGAAAACTAGACTTTTGGCGAATTTGTTTGTGGTACTCTCAATATGCTTGGTATATGAGAATTGATTATTTTCAGTGATATGAATGATATGTAGATGCATGTATTTATAGTGAGCATATGTCTATTCGCAACATACATGTTTTTGGGAGGCAAATGTTCAACGTAAAGGGTGTGTTGCTCCATCTGTTTCTCAGATACGCTTTCAGACTTCATCTGAAAAGATGAGTCTTTTTATAAAATAAAAAATAATTTAATTAAATTCAAAATTAATTAAATATTAATTAAATATATTAATTATTAATTCATTATCAATTAATTATTTCACCCCAAAGCCCAATTTTAGACTCCAATAAAGTGAGGAAACCTTGTGTTGGTGAGCAATGTGAGACAATGAAATTCTACTCAAAATTTCCAACAGAAACACCTGAGTCGGTGTAAACACCAAAACTTTACACACGATCTTAATAGGAAACATGGCTGAAGATCGGACCAAGGGATAGTCAGGATGAGGAATACCTTTGGAGATAGAGGAATTTGATAGACCGAAGTTAAAATTTGGGAGAAACAATAGTATAGGCAAGGAGAAAAGAAGGAAAGGGGAAAGCAGATAACACGATAACCAACCCCAGCAGAAGCTAAGGCTGGTGCCACTGGAAAAGTTTAGGTTTAAAAGTCTCACGCAAACAGTGAGAATGACTCTAAGTGTGAAGAGAAAACTCTCACCTCGGAGAGAAGTTTTTTTTTGTATTAATATAAACTTGTTTTGCTTTCTTATAATTCAGGTTTAAACATTTGGAAAACAACGATGCAAAACATAAGGAATTTTGAATCTAAACAAATGAGTTCAAATACATACATAAGACTCACCTCAAATCGTGGTTCCAATGGAGACGACACCTGCCTTCACGTAGGGCTGGGTTCGGTTCTTATCGGTTCGGTTTTTTACCAAAACCGAAACCGAATCGAAATTTCGGTTCAGTTCGGTTCGGCCCAAAATTTTTTCGGTTTTTTTCGGTTCGGTTTTTCCGGTTCGGTTTCGGTTTTTTTCGGTTTTTTTTTTCTCCAAAAAATGCAAAACAACCACAACATAAGATAGAAATAGAAAATATGACATGTTTCCATCTCTCTTCCACATTGTCGTGTTGTTTGAATCAAACAACGAAACATGATACTTTTACAGGCACTTCAGAGTCCTGCATATGAGATGAATGATTTGAGATGGTCAAGTACATATTCAAGTATGTGCTGGTTGCTTGAAGATCATTTTAGTTCTCACTTCTCACTGAGTTACATACTCAAGTTTGAAGTGGCTACACATAACCAAGAGTGAGTCCTTAGAAAGTCATAATGCTGAAAGGTTGCTAAGGTGAAACTTAAGCAATTACAGCTCGCATAGAACCAGTCTCCCACGAGGCTCACGAGCAAGCAACAAACCCGTGAGCTCTGCTTCCTTGACTTTAAGCTCTTCCTCCCTCTCTAGTCGTTCCTGTGGAAGCATAGAGTACATTTTTGTTATATTCAGCGATATCAAAGCTATTGATAATCTTAAATATTCTGTCACATCACTTCATTGAAAGCTCACCTTCCGTAACTTCTCCTCTGCTTTTTCCTTCTTTATTTGTTCAAGCTCGGCCAATAGAGCTTCCACGTCATCCTCCTCGTCATCGTCATCTTCACCACTATAATCAAAGTAAATGTTCCAAATATACGAGGAAAACACGTAGTAATATCATTACACCGCAAGAAATGGATTGAACTGTGCAAGCAAAGAAAACATTACTATCAACAAATGAAAGGCTAGTTAATAGTCTATCACAGCTATTTTTGATTTGCAGATATTGTTACCGTTTCAAATGGAAACCCAGGAAACAAGAAGTTCATAACTACGCAAACCAAAATCCCTAAATCTAGAAAACCCTAAGTTACTGTGAAAAGAACTAGAACACACAATAACACAAGTAAGTGAATAAAGCCCGTAGCAACTGTGAAAAGAACTAGAACACACAATAACCCAAAATCCCTAAATCTAGAAAACCCTAAGTTACTCTTCCTAAATCCCTAAAATTGAATACCTTTTGATTGAGAGAGAATAGGGGATGCCACAGGGTCAGAACGCTCGCAGCCATGGGGATGGGTGCTGGAGCCAGAGGGAGGACTGAGAGAGAAGAGGGGTTGCCGCAGGGTTACCACGCTCGCAGCCATGGGCAGAGGGAGGACTGAGAGAGAAGAAGGGTTGCTGCAGGGTCTGCACGCTCGCAGCCATGGGGATCGGTGTTGGAGCCAGAGGGAGGACTGAGAGAGAAGAGGGGACGAGAGAGAGAAGAGGGAGAAATTGGAGGCATGGAGGAAGTCTAGAGGTGTGGCTGCGCTAGGGAACGAGAGAGAGAGATGAGGGGAATGACAATTACAAATAGAAAAAGGCTGCTAGGGTTTTGTTGATTTGGTTATAAAAATTAAAAAAAAATCTCCAAAATCCGAGGGGCATGAAGAGGTTTCGAACCCATGCGCACCAGCTTGGAAAGTTTCACTAAAACCAACTTCACAACAAGTTCTGTTTTGTTATAATTGTATGACTAAACTATTTATAAACATTGAAAAAAATAATTAAATATATATATCGGTTCGGTTCAGTTCGGTTCGGTTTTCGAACCTCAAAAACCGAAACCGAACTGGGCAGATTCGGTTCGGCTCGGTTTGAGAGTTTCGGTTCGGTTTTTTTTTCGGTTCGGTTTTTTTCGGCTTCGGTCCGGTTTGGTTTTCGGTTTTTTTCGGTTTTCGGTTTTTTGAACCCACCCCTACCTTCACGTAGTTGGTGGCTGGTCAGGACACATTCATACTCCTCAACCCTCTCTGAGTCCTCCACAAAGATAACGAATTGAAATTTCTCGTGGATTGTAAATTTGTTTTGAATTTTTGAATTGAAAACTGATTGATGTTGAAAATCAAGGCTACATTGAGGCACTTTCAATCACGAAATTGATTCTCTTCGAAAACGAAATGGCGTTCAAGAAAAATTATATCCCTTTACTCACATTTAGTAAACATCTATAGAAGGAATATTGATATACGAAAACTTATAAGTCAAACAAATTACAAAATTTGTGTCTCCCAATACAGGAAAGAGAAATTGAGTAAAACTGATTTATTACAGCAACTCTCATATCAACTAGAATTACTTAAGATTGAGTGAAACCAAAACACGTAATGCATTTACTTTCATACATCATGCTCTATGAATGACATGATCAACCATCCCTATACTCCTATTCAAGTATGAAAATTTCCAAGTTCATAGTCGAAACAATGATAGAGACGCTTATACTATAGAATGACAAATTGACAAAGTTAGACACCAAATAATAATTAATTATATGCCCAAAAAGAAATAACGAAATAAAATAAAACGACTTGGCGTTGGCGTGCCAACGAAGAGAGAGAAAATTCAACGAGTGATAGCGAGTCGACTCATCATCCTTAAAAATTTTCCCCAAAATTAAATGGACAATTAGGTGTGGGAGATAATTTCTGAGAAACCATCACAGCCAAGCCAGAGGGAGAGAGCCAGAGATCCTCTTCTCTCTCTAGCATTCTGATCGGTTTCCTTCTAGTGAGAGAGAGAGAGAGTGTGTGTGTGAAAGGAAGTTACATGGATCAGATTTTGAACAAGGCCGGATCCTACTGGTTCAACCAGAAGGCCACCAAGGAGCTCTCGTCCGTCGGGGATGACATCAACGTACCTCTCTCTCCCTCTCTCTCTCTCTGTCTCCCTCTATATATATATATATATATACACACATATAACTATGGATCTCAATTTAATGTAATTATGTTATTCAATTGAGCATTTGAATCTGATATAGGTTCCAATTAGGGTTTTTTTTCCTGTTAATAATGATTTGGGTTCACAAAGTTGATTTCTTTACACGATCTGAATTTTCTGGGTGTGATTCACTGTCGTAATCGTATTTTAGATTAATTTTTTTATTTAATTGTTTCCTTGTTAAATTTGAATTATGATTGATTCCATGTATTAATTGTCAAGATTAATACTTTCCCAAATTTGGGTTCTTTTGTTTGTTTGTTTTGGTTTTGGTTTATGACATTTTTTTTCGCTAACGTTGTTTGTGTAATTATTAGTCATTGCAAAGCAGTGTCGAAGGAGGAGCCAAATGGTTGGTTAATAAACTCAAAGGTTAGTTTTCTCTGCTGGCTCTGTTTGGTTACATTGCCTGTTAAAGTAACCTCACATATTGCTGTAATATGGCTGACTTTGCGAGCCCGAAAGTTTGGACATTGTAGTAGCATTAATTCATGTGGTTAATATGTAAGAAGTCTAAGTAGGGGCAATTATAAGTGAGTGTGTGATTGCGGATACTGGCCAAAGTACGGGTGTGCCAGAGCTGTAGAAAGCATTGTGGTTGAAGGGTTGGGTCATATTCTTGAGATGGTTTGTTCCTTACGTTTAATGGTGCTGGGTAGATATGAGTATAATTATATAACCCTTTTCATATGGCTTTAACTTGCTTGACTCTCAAGATGTCATATGTGGAGTTCAAGCAAGGAACTTGCTGCTGGGGTTTCTTGAAATAGCACAAGGCAAAAGAAAAACAATATGTGATATAAGTTGTATTTGTGCTGCTAGGGGGGGCGGAATGGTGCTTCAAAGTTCCAAGCTCTAGGTTTGGATTGTATAAACTGCTATGTTCAGGCTGTAGACTAGGTCTATATTCGTTCTCTCATTTTTTTTTATGCTGCAGAGTCATTACTGGTGTAGTATATTGAAAAGAATTGATTAGGATTTTAGTCCTCGTGTAGGTCTGTGTTACTTTGATAAATCTCCCTTACAATATAAGCCACCTTCACAGGGAAAATGCAAAAGCCGTTGCCTGAGCTTCTAAAGGATTTTGACTTGGCAATAGGAATCTTTCCTCGTGATGCTACCAACTATGAGTTTAATGAGGAGACTGGGAAACTTACCGTCTATATACCGACTGTCTGTGAAGTGGGCTACAGAGATTCATCTGTTTTGCGTTTTTTCACCACTGTAACTGGATATTTGAAGAAAGGAAGGCTAGAAGACATACAGGGGATGAAGACTAAGGTGCTTATATGGGTAAATGTGACATGCATCACATCAGAGGGATCGAAGCTCCATTTCACAGCTGGGTTGAAGAGAAGCAGGAGTAGAGAGGCATATGAGGTGCAAAGAGACGGAATTACTGTTGAAAAGTTTTAACAAAGGTCAAAATGCTCGTAAGTTATTATCGTGGTAATTTAGTTTGTAGATCTTTTGGACCATTTGGCTTGTACGAATTATGGTTTAATCAACTCTTTTTTGTTTCCTGTGGATGTCGAACGGTTTGATGCAGTAAATATTTCATCTTTTGTATGGTTGTAGAATGTTTCCGGGTTTTATGTATCGTATTGGGCATTTGCTTCGAACATATCGACTTAAATCACTTGTGTATCTCTCTCAAACATATTAACTAAACTAGATGGTTGGAAATGATCATTTCCCCCTTGGATTGATAATTCATCTCTACATTATTGTTTTTAGCACATAATCGGCAGTATAGATCTTTATCTGCCTGAACCGAGTTCTTCCCGGTGAAGTCATTTACACGAACAAGGGCATTCAACAGAGTTAAATATGTGCATCAGTTCCTGGAACTGTCACTGCCATTGAGTTCTTGAAAGAAAGTTTTTGATGCTTCATAAGTTGACCAGCAAATTGCAGCAGCAGGGGCATGGAAGAGCATCCTTGGAATCCAACCTCGCATAAGACTGCGGTATCCATCCTTCATCACCAGGCTTCGAACAACATCCCCTATCGAGTTACTCGAAAATCTTTCGCACCCGCAAACCCCCTGTGGAAAAAAGAGTGAAAGCAAGGCCTACTAAGGGAATTTGAAAACAACAAATACAATCTTTCCAGTCCTTGCATAGCAAGAAATTCATAGCAACTAGGACTTTATCGTACCAAGAATGTCATTGTGGCGGTATCTTCAGCCAATCATGCACTTCTAAATGAGAAAGTTAAGCCATAAGACAATGCGTGAGTGGCATGGGGTCCCGCCACAACGGATCCCCATTTTTGGTAAGTTTCGCTTTGTAACAACAAATAACTAATTTTTTGTGTGGTACAAAACAGCATGTTCCTTCATCCAGATTCCAAACCCAATAAAAACCATATATACAAATTGGCTCAAACATATCCATGTGCCACAAAACAAAACAAAACAAAACAAGGATATTGAAGCAACTAATTGATTGATAAAAGTTCTGACCTGGCACTGCAATTGAGTTTTCACAACATCAAGCGGGGTGGTCACAGCCGCCGCTAAAGCGCCAGCAGCCGCACCTGCAGTGGCATGAACCACCAGCCTCTCGTCGTTCGCACTCTCCGGCGACACCTCCATCAACCCTCGTTTCGCTGCCTCATACGTAGCGAAATGGACGGCAGTGAACGGGGCATTCATCACGACAGTCGTCCTGTACGACTTGTAAAATGCTCCAACCCCTTCTTCCACTAAAACCCTCCTCACACAATCGGCAACTCCTTTGTACGGACTGCTCTGCAGCTGCAGCCTCTGTTTCACCACGTCCATCGGTGTGATCACCGCGTCGCTTGCAACGGTCGCAAACACCCCTGAAACCGCGTGAGCCACCGAGCTATTCGGATTCCCAC